TTTTGTTCTCTTTTCTTTTCAGAGTTGATTTTAATTATTACCAGCCCCTTCTTAATGATGGCACTTTACTTGGCTTTTGAATATCCTGTTTGGCTCTTACATTTCATTTGTTTTCAACAATGTATTTTAATTTTCCTGTTTTGTCCCTATGACATTCCAGGGGGCAGTCCAGACCAGAGGGGCTGTTTCACCCCTGCCCTGATACCTGCGGTGCCTCACAATGCTTTGCTGTTGTAGCTTTCAGTTTGGGTCACTCTTAGTCAGCCTGCCAGTATGCAGGTTGCACCCTGAGTGTCTGTGTAAAGCCACAGCCCTGGTCCAGCAGCTTTGACCCCAGCAGCCTGTCAACAAACAGCAGCTTCCAGGAACCTTGGTTACTATTTGCAGGTGACGTGCCAACATGCCACCAGTCCTGAGTTTCCCTCCCAAAATGTGTGTTCTGCATTGTCCAGCCCTCTCCTGGACAGTCCAGGTACACTAGTTTGGGGTGGGCAAACTATGGCCCGGGGGCCACATCTGGCCCTTCAGTTGTTTGCATCCAGCCCTCAAGCTCCTGTCGGGGAGCGGGGTTGGGAGTTTGCCCCGCTCCAACCATTCCATGGCTCCGCATGGCTCCTGGAAGCAGTGGCATGTCCCCCCTCTGGCTCCTACGCATAGGGGCAGCCAGGGGGCTGCGCACATTGCCCCCACAGCTCCCATTGGCTGGGAACTGCAGTCAGTGGGAGCCGCAGGGGTGGTGCCTGCGGACAGGGCAGCGCGCAGAACTGTCTGGCTGCACCTCTGCATAGGAGCCGGAGGGGGGCAATGCTGCTCCTTCCTGGAGATGCTTGAGGTAAGCGCTGCCTGGAGCCTGCACCTCTGACCCCCTCCCACACCCCAACCCCCTGTTCCAGCCCTGATCCCCCTCCTGCCCTCTGAACCCCTGGTCCCAGAGCACCCTCCTGCACCCCCAACCCCTCATCCCCACCCCAGAGTCCATACCCTCAGTTGGAGCCCTCACCTTCCTCCCCACCTCAACCATAGCCCCCTCCCGCACCCGAACTCCTCATTTCTGGCACCACCCCAGAACCGGCACCCCCAGCCAGAGCCCACACCCCCTTCCTCACCCCAAGCTCCAATTTCATGAGCATTCATGGCCCCCCATACAATTTCCATACCCAGATGTGGCCCTTGGGCCAAAAAGTTTGCCAACCCCTGCACTAGGTTTTTTTGCCCCTCTAAGGGGGTCAGTACATAATAGCTTGTTGCCTTCAATGGAGTTACACAAACAATTCACAACACTGGATTAATTTTGATTAAAGAACAAAACTACAAAGAGATATTGAGTACAAGAAATGAGGCATTAAAGTCAGAAATGGTTACAAGAAAAATAAAGATAAAACTCTTTCTGAACTTAAACTAGACTTGGTTCAAAGTGAAGTTCCTTAGCACATTTCTAGTAACATTGCTGACCAAACTCTCAGGCTAGAATCTGGCCCCAAAGTCCAATGGCTGTTTTTCTGGTCATCTTACATGAAGAGAGAGATGGGTATGGAGCAAGAACTTGGTGTGTTTTGCCCCTCACTTTTATAGTCCAGTCACCCTTTGAAAAGCATTTTTCTGAGTGTCATGCCTCACTAAAGTTCTTTCCAGCTGAGAGCAAGTAGACATGGAGTCTGCTGGAGGAAGGAGGCTTTATGCTACACCTCTACGCTGATATAATGCAACCCAATAGAACACAAATTGGGATATAACGCAGTAAAGCAATGCTCTGGGGGGCAGGGCTGCTTACCTGGCTCTGACATGCTGCTGGGCCGGGGCTGAGGGGTTGGATAAGGGGCAGAGGGTCTCGGGGGGGGGGGAGGGTGTCTGGATGTTCTGGGGAGGGGGTGGTCAGGGGTGGGGAATGGGGGCGTTGGATAGGGAGTGGGAGTCCCAGGGGGCCTGTCAGGGGGTGTGGATAGAAGACAGGGAGCAGGGGGGCTTAGATAGAGGGTGGGGTCTTGGGAGAGGTGGTTAGGGGCAGGGGGTCTCTGGAGGGAGTAGTCGGGACAAGGAGCGAGGCAGGTGGATGGGTCGGGGCGGGAAGTAACTATTGATAATGGAAATGCTCGAGGCCAAAGCAAGTTCAATATAACGCGGTTTCACCTAGAACCTGGTAAGATTTTTTTGGCTCCTGAGGACCGTGTTATATTGGGGTAGAGGTATATTTCTTTTCACCTATTTATGCTCTGTCGAATTTTCTTGGTCTTCTTTCTTTCCCCTCTTGCTGTCTGAGGACTCTTTTTTACAGCTTATATGCAAATTGTGGTAAACACACATTCTTATGACAGGTTTCAGAGGAACAGCCGTGTTAGTCTGTATTCGCAAAAAGAAAAGGAGTACTTGTGGCACCTTAGAGACTAACCAATTTATTTGAGCATGAGCTGTGGCTCACGAAAGCTCATGCTCAAATAAATTGGTTAGTCTCTAAGGTGCCACAAGTACTCCTTTTCTTTTTACACATTCTTATGTTTGACAGGCCTCCTTGACCAAGTCTACTTAATCGGGGCTATGTGAGTTTGAATATGTGCCTTAACATCATACAGGGGGATTTCATAACTTTACACATAATGTTGCTACATACATTTCACCATGATATTTACTGACCAGTAAGTCATTAGTTTTCAAATGATAGCTCACAAAGCATATTTTGTACAAATATTATTGCAATATGTAGAGTGTGAATACAGGGGTGCATTCTTTTGCATTGCAGGGCCCTTTATAAATAAATAAGACTATTTAATATATAACTCAGAACCTCATGCAGTATTTTTCATCTGGTGGTCTTGTGTGATTGGATCATACTTAATAATGTCTTCCAAGTTAGAATGACTTATCAGGCAATTTAAATCATCAATTTTAATCATGATTTAAATCAGCAAGCAGGAAAACTTGTTTAAATCGTTCATTTTTAATTGTAGTTTTCATTTCTACTTTTTAGGTATTTTTCCTAAAGAAAAGTTGTTTCAAATTAGCTGGTAAACATTAAATCATGTTGATTTGCAACTAAATACAGTCTTTACATTACATTAAACTTGATACTTTTTGGATAATGAGGACAGACCATATCATTACTCACTTATGATGCAATTATTTAGCTTAAGATAGATTCAGATTAATTTTTACATTTTTATTATGTTAAAAATGGGGAAATCATTTTAAATGATTAGCTAGGGAACAGGCCAACTCTTCAAACATCTTGGTTGTCATTATCTTTGTTTTATCCGCTTCAACTTATTCATCTATATCTTTGCATCAATGACGTGATATACAAATAAAGATATACATAAAAGTTTGCTCTAGGAGATTCCAGCCAATCAGTCAGTTTTTTTCCCCCACAGGTGTCATTAGCATGTAGTAAAGTGAGTGATTAGGCTATTTAAGTGGGCTTGCTAACAAATGGCAGCATGATACAATCAAAAAGATAGGCCACTGCCTACATCAGGGCATTCTTTGCTCGAATATTTGACCATAGTCAAGTAATAGGCGGTTTATGGAGAGCGCCTACTAAATGTGGGGCAGCATGGTAGAAAGCATGGAGATGCTTGTTGGAAAATTTTAACAAGTGAGTAGGTTGATACTGAATGACAGATAGGTAGGGATTGACTGTGTAGGGCCTTGGAAGTGAATATGAGTACCTTATGTTGGATGTGATAATGAAGAGGGAACCAGTGGAGGGATGCAAACAGAGGGGTTACATGGTCAAAGCAACAGGTTTAGAAAGTGATATTTTTCCCAAGCATTCTGAGAGGACACAAGTGGGGCAAGATTGCATTTCTCAAGGCCAGAGAGAAGGATGTTGTATTGAGATGTGAGATGATAGGAGCTTAGATATGAGTTTTATCTACATGGATGGATAAGAAAGGCCATATCTTAGAAAGGTTATACAGAAAAAATTGGGAAGATTAAGATATGGCAGAGATGTGAGGACCTAGAAAGATCTGATGTGAAGATAACGCCTAGGCTGAGGGCTTGAGTGACATGCTGGATGGTGGTGTTGTCCCCAGTGATCAAGAAAGTAGGTATTCTCTCTGCACCTGCACAAGAAGCTACTGCTGTCAAAAGCTGGTTTACCACTTCAACAAACTCTCGTTCTGCTTGGTTAGCTAGTGACTTTTATGAGGTCTGTCATAATTTCAATTTTAATTTTAAGTAGTTTTTCAAAATGAAAAATGTACTTTAACATTTTAATGCATTAATTTTTATCAACTGCTATCTTATTTGAAGTTGCAGATGTTCTTGATTAACATGCTTTTTGGTCACTGCGATGATTGAGAAAGGGGCATGAGCCAGTCTGCAACAGTTTTTCACACAATGAGCTTCAAGAATATTATTGAGCAAACCCAGTTTGAATCAATATAACCCTTGTACACCTACTGTGATCCAAGAAAACGCCACGCAGGTACTTGGGTTCCATGGGGTTTGCTTTAATACCAATAGAAAGTTACAAAATCAAAAGTAAAAAACTGCACGTCACTTTCCCAGTTATGACAAAATGAAGTCCTGGTCTTGTGAACTGTTATGCATGAAAATGGTTGCATTGATTTTGATGGAATTACTCCCATGAGTCACAGTTTGTGTAAATCATGTATTGAAAAAGCATCCTAGGGGCCTATCTGCAAAGTGCATTTTCTCTCAGTATTTTCCTATTGTAAAATAAAGTATTTTTTAATATGTAATTCTGTTGCTTTGGGGATAGAGCTTGTGTGTTTATATTTAAAAAAAAAAATCCTATAGCACTTTAGAACTTTGTGGTGAGCTTTGCCCTCAGCAATCCTATGTAGGATCCTCTGTAGGATGTAACCATTTTAAAATCTAACCTTTGTTCTGCTTCAGTAGAAAATGTGTGAAATCATAAAATGGATAATGCATTGTGCAAGACACCACATATCACATAGATTGGACAACAATGCTATCTAAGGTACTCTTTTGGCATCCATCACAGTAGGATCTGAATGCCTCACAATCTTTAATGTATTTATCCTTACAAGACCCCTGTGAGGTAGAAAAGAAGTATTCATCCCATTTTGTAGATAAGGGATTGAGTCACAGAGAAGTAAGTGACTTGCCCAAGGTCACACAGGAAGTCTGTGGCAGAGCAAGGACTCAAAGCCAGGTCTTATAGGTCCTAGGCTAGCACCCTAAGCACACTGGACCATCACTTCTCTTAATGTTCTGTCTGGCTCATCAGAGTTCAGGGAATTACAGCTAGTGTAGAAATTTGAATCCAATACTCTTTTTAATATAGTGAAGGTCTTGTGCAACTCATAGGATGAGATATTACAACTGTATTTCACATGTAACATTCCAAGAAAAGATGAAAATGCCTCCAAAGTGGTGCACATAATGAACTAAAGAACAAAACAAGCCCAACAACTCCCCCACCCCATTATGAATAGAGTAAGGTTGTATTCTAGAATTGGTGATGAGACCCTTTCTTCCAATTCCCTCTTCAAAACCCACTTATTCAAGGAGGATTAAAGTAGTTTCTTAAACTTAAAAAGTGTAACAGTCAGGATGGATGGATATATTCTCTCCAATTATTGCTTGTTTGCAATATATTTGCCCTGATCTTCCCTCCCTTTTTACCCCTTCACATATTTTCTCCTCCTGTAGTTATTGTATTAGGCAGACTTTAAACTTGTGGGACAGAGATGGTGTGCTTTTTTTAACCGCTTCATGCACATTTGTAGTACGATACAAGTAATATTTCAGAATTAGTATTTATCTCCCTAAATAGCCTTTCAGTATGCTTTCTCTTTCAAATTCCTTTATTCACATAACTGAAATTCTCTCCTCTTATATTCTGATATTCTTGTATCTTGCATACTTGCAAATGTAGCTAAGATTTCAGCGTCAGGTTCTCAAAAGGGTATGCAAACTGCAATTGGTATGCCAGATTATGGGTATAGTATTGAAATAAGAATCCATTATAATAACACTGATTTAAAATTATGAAGGTGTTATGACTAATACTTTGGAGTTTTAGATGTGGTATGCCAGGTCTAGTCTGAGAATCAGTTCAGCAGAAGAAATGGTAAGGAATGTCACAGTTTGAGACTAAAGTTATAACAAGCTTTTTCAGAATAACAATATATTGTATCTTTTTACAGAATACAAAAACCTCAGAAATAGTGAAGCAACTGGTTGCTGAAGAAAATGCAGGAGAACTACAAAAATGTTTTGGGTCACGGATGGAGTTTGGGACAGCAGGACTCAGAGCAGCCATGGGGGCAGGAATTTCTCAGATGAATGACCTTACTATTATTCAGACAACTCAGGTACCAAGTTCACTTTGTTTTTCTGTTATTACTTAACTGCAGGCTTTTCTTCTGCATTCAGTAGAAACTAATATTTTTAATGAAAAGGTAACCAGATGAAATTGGAAATAGAATTGAACTTAACCACTGTCCAAAACCTCAAGGGTGGTTTCACTGGGAGCAGAGTTAGGCCAATGTTGACCACTTCAGAAAACCCACTTACATATATTGAAATTCTAGTTCTTCTTTGAGTGATTGCTCATGTCCATTCCAATTAGGAGTGCGTGCACAGCTGCCAGAAGGTTTTTCCCTTTGCAGTACCTATCAGATCGGTCTGGGTGCCCCTGGAGTTGCACCTTTGTGGCCCTGAATATAGGGCCCTGCCAACTCGCCACCACTTCAGTTCCTTCTTACTGCCTGTGATGGTTAGCCAGAACGCTTGTTAGCTCTTGCTTTGCAAGTGCAACTTATTTAGTAGTTTGAACTTTTGTCCTGTAAATAGTTAGGTTCATAGTATGGTGTTAGATAAGTTTCAGTTAGCGGGTAACCCCCTGTGACCGGAATCCTGGGGGAGCCAACTGAGGTCACTCAAGGTGAACTGCGAAGAATGGGACAGACAAGCCCCAAAGCTGGTGGATATTCCAATATGTAGATTTACCAAGCCAGCACAAAACAGCTTCCATAACACCTCACTGGTTACCCAGAAGCCAGAAACATAGTTCCCTTAAAGTAACCCAGCCTCAGGCCTCCACCCAGATGCCCAAATCAAATATAATGAGGATTACTGAAAATCTTATTCATCATATAAAAAAGTTCTACCAGTCCCAAAGGATTGGACACATTACCCCTCAGGTTAATGAATACTTCAGATCTTACCCAAATACACGCTTACAGACAAGTCTTATTAACTAAACTAAAATTTATTAAAAAAGAGAGAACGTGTTGGTTAAAAGATCAGTATACATACAGACATGAGTATAATTCTTGAGGTTCAGATTCATAGCAGAGATGGTGAGCTTTGTAGTTGCAAAGAGGTCTTTCAGAATTGGTCCATAGGTTATAGTCCAAATTATATCAGGGTGGTCCACTCAGAACTGGGATCTCAATCTTGTGGCTTAAACTTCCCCTGCATAGAAGCATCAAGCAGATCTGAGAAGACAGGATCAGGTCCCAAAGGTCTTTTATACAGTTTTCTAGTAGCCATTTGACCATATAGTTCTGGGTGAACAATAGGCTTTTAATGTAACCTTCTGTTTCCTAAACCTCACTGGTAATTAAACTACTTAATGGATAAATAGTCTTATATTAATCCATGTAGTTATCACAAACTTTAAAGAGACATAGAGACAATGACATTATTGCACCAAGATTCATCTAAATGTTAATATTCCCTTTTGATCTCTGAATCAGTAGCTATAGTGACAGACAGTTCCTGTCTGTTTACATGGCTAGCATTAAACAGGATATGAGTACACACACAGAATTAGCATTGCCTCTAATTTCTAACAATATAGGTTTGCATTTCAAAGTTCTACCCTATCTACCATAGAATGGTCTTAATTACCATTCACATGCTTTTCTAACATGTCCCTAAGGATTGACCCAGAGTCAATTAGCCTGCAAGCTGCTTAACCCTTTCCGGCTATGTGTCACACTTCGTATAAGATTTGTAGCAATTATATAACAGTGGTAGCAACAATGGTTTACATGGTCATATTTTAATTAGATAATGTCAAACTCTCTCCCTTTATTGCCATCTTTTGCCTCGGTACCGGGGCATGCCTCAATCCCCAGGGTTTAAACCCAGCGCAGCATGTGGCAAGTCTATGTCAAGAAGTGACCTCCATGCTTCCTCCTTAAAGTGTTGGGGGAGAGTCACCAAAAGGAATGCTGCAAGATCTGCAGGGGATTTCATCAGAAAACTCAGAAGGAGAGGGATCAGCGCGTTGAGATTCTTCTGATGGAGGCTGCTCTACGTTTTCACTTGGACCCCGGCTCAGCAGACCCAACGCTGAACACCTCAGCATTGGTGTGCTGGCAATGATGAGGCAGGAGTTGTCACCAAGGAAGGACTCTGCCAGAGACCCTTGGCACTGGCAGGGTTCCCACTTAAGGCAGTGGTCGGCACTGTTCTCAATCCCCGGTAGCCCATAAGAAGAGGAGACCAGAAAGGGGCCGCTCCCCCATGCCCAGACCAGTGCAGCAGGAGCCCACCACAGCGAGACCCACATTGGGCCCACGTAACTTCGGCTCCGCCAGCTAAATTGTAGTTTTTAAACCTTTTATCTTAAAATTGCAATCTTACTGAGTTATATTAGGGCTGTTGATTAATTGCAATTAACTCACACGATTAAAAAAAATTAATCGTGATTAATTGCAGTTTTAATCACACAGCTAAACAATAATAGAACACACAATTAAAATATTTTTGAATGTTTTTCTACATTTTCAAATATATTGATTTCAGTCACAACACAGAATACAAAGTGTACAATGCTCATTTTATATTTTTGTTACAAATATTTGTACTGTAAAAATGATAAAAGAAATAGTATTTTTTAATTCACTTAATACAAGTACTGTAGAGCAATCTCTTTATCATGGAAGTGCAATTTACAGATGTAGATTTTTGTTGTTACATAATTGCACTCAAAACTAAACAATGTAAAACTTCAGAGCCTACAAGTCCACTTAGTCCTACTTTTTGTTCAGCCAATCACTGAGGCAGACAAGTTTGTTTACATTTGCAGGAGATAATGCTGCCCGCTTCTTATTTAGAATGTCACCTGAAAGTGAGAACAGGCATTTGCATGTCACTTTTGTAGATGACATTGCAAGGTATTTACGTGCCAGATGCTTTTCCTACTGTCTCAGTCAGTAAAAATATAGGAAATCCCAAATTAAGCCAATTTAGTATATCTGTGCAAGTCTCAATTTGCGTAAAAGTTCTAATACCTCATATATCCTAGAGTAGATCTGCTGTATCTGGAGAAGCTGAATAAAAGTAAGGGTGTATCCCATGTCATTGATTTACTTTGTCCTAAACAGGCTTCATTTTGGTGTGTTTGAGATTAAAAAATTAATATATTCACTAGTAGTGATTACTTTTTCAGGCCAGAAAATAGCATCTGAATTAATCACTTGTGAAGTTTTGTAATCCAAAATTATCATTTTTACCTAATCTACCTGGATTTAAATTTTTCATTTGGAATTATTCATATTATAAAACCCATCAGTGATATTTCAGTATTTTTGTTTGGAAACTCACCACTTTCTTGGTTTTCAATCAGTATTTCTTGCTCCCAGAAAATTTTACCCTAAACCAATTTAGGGTACTTTACTTGCTTTTTTATTTTGGTTTGTTTGTTTATGTTTAAAGATTTTAAAATTTATTGCAGCCACATTTAAAATACTAAGATTAAGTTCTGAGTTTTTTTGTCTTTAGGGATTTTGCAGGTACCTTGAAAAGAACTTCAGTGATCTAAAGAAAAGAGGGGTTGTCATTGGTTTTGATGCTCGCGCCCATCCTTCAAGTGGAGGTAGCAGCAAGAGGTACTCTTAGTAGTCTGTGGAAATGATTTATTTGTATGTTATATGGAATGTATTCTAGTTTGTTCACTGCTTCAATAGCATGTTCTTTGGAGCAGTTAGATGTGTGTGCAATTTGAATGTAAAAATGTGTACACTGTGCATCTGAAGATAAGAAATATAGCTTTGCTCTCCTTTTGCATTTTGGTATGAAACACAGGTAAAATCCAGTCTGTACTGCAAATTTGGACCATGTTTGTAACCAGAATAAGGGACAAATGAATTACACCAGAATCAAATCTACATGCTCCTTGTGAATTTTATTTAACTGTCTAGTGAGAGTCTCATGAATGTATTTCCAAATAAACTTTTCTTGTCATTTAGGTTTGCAAGGCTTGCTGCAACAACGTTCATCAGTCAGGGAATTCCAGTGTACCTCTTCTCCAATATAACACCAACACCTTTTGTGGTATAGTTGTCTATAATTTTTTTCATACAACATAATAGGGTACTGTCAAGTACAAAAAAAAACTATTAATTTTTTTTAGAAAAAGCAAACTCATTTCTTAGTTTGCTACTCTCAGGCTTATTTAAGATCCTAGCTGCTTCAGGTACAGTAAGCTGTAGAGGAACTGATTAGGATATGCTGTCGATATTTTATCCTGAACTTCTCAGCTTCTTCGGAAGCAGCTAGTGCTCTGCCTGTTTCTGATTCCGTGTAACCATACTGTGCTGCTGCCCAGATAGCAGCTCTTCTGAAAGATGGGGATGTGAGGGCCACCAGAGTTTCTGAAGGATATGTATGTCCCTTCACACCTGCCTGATGGGATATGTTACCTATTGAATTTTGGAAGATTAGCTGCTATACTTCTGCTTATGAGCAATGGCTGATGTCTTCCAAAAGATGCATACTCTATATATTTATAGATAGGTGAGCTTGAACTCCAAGAATCCAGACAGTATTTCCAGCAAATAACATTATTTAAACTAGATCAGCTACTAACTAGTTGGTAGCTGCCAATTGTATTGGGTATTTCAAGACCTCCTGTGCTGCTTAATGTATCTGGAATATGATATTCCAGTAACTTCTATCTAGTGTTAAACTGGTGCTACAGAAGCACACCTGTCTGGTAGCAAAAGTATTAAACATTTCATAGATTGGAACAATAGAGTCATATTTCTCATCATCCCTGGGTTACTATGTTCTACAAATACAGTATTCTAATTTCAAGATAGAAGGAAAAAATACTGGTTTTCCTATACAATACTCTTCGATCAGGCCATGCTTCAATGCGTTGTCTTTCAAGAAATTATTTTAAGCTGTACGATGGCAATGACTGCTCTTTAATGAGGATATGCTCTTGTAATGGTCATGCTTAGGACTTTAGCGTGTCTTGTGATCATGCTTTTTCTAAGTTTGCTCATGTAACAGCTCTCATTTCCTCCTTTAATGTAATACTGTGTGAATTTTTCACCATTGCCTGTTCTTGACTGTTAGTTTGCTCCTTTTGGCCATGCTGGGCTGCCATGCAGTTAGCAAGATTCAGTCCCTAACCCAGTGCGCAAAATGCCTACCAACTTTTTGGACCTGTCCAATAGCACAGTGCACTGGCTACTGCTCTCAGGAGACCAGCATTATTTTTTAAATGTCCTCTGTGAGTTAGGAACACCTCTTGATGGTGACATTCGTTCACTGTGCTGTCCCAAATTGGAGGAATCTACTGTACTCTGAATTCTGGTTAACTTAAATATTGATACTCTACACAGCTCTAATTTTAAATAAACTTCAATTGAAACATGCTGTGAAGGGAATTAGTTACACTTAAATTTCACAGCAGTAAAATGAACAAGGATAACATTTGTCATATACATTATTTCTTTGTTTTCATTATTTTGGTATATTCAGTCCAGATTTAGTCTTTGGAAAATCAAATGTTCTTTGATCTTACACTTTTATTGGGCATGTGTGGTACCTGTAATTAAGCAGTCAGGCCACTAGATGGCATGGCTCACAATCAATAAAGAGAATAGTTATTTTCTAGACTTGAAATTATGATTGTATGGTTGCAGCGATGGCTTGATTCCCAGAATTTAGCAGGATCGAGACTCCATGATAACTCTCTTTATACTATTGTTTTACAGCCCTACACAATAACTCATCTGAAACTTTCTGCTGGAATTATGATTACTGCTTCCCATAACCCAAAACAAGATAATGGTTACAAGGTATTCCTATATAACTTAAATCTTCCATTGTTTTCAGACATGACTATTTAATAATAGCATGTATAGTAGCACTCTATATGTTCAAAGAGCTATCCAGTCCTTAATCTTCAAAGTAGCCCTAGGAAGGAGGGAGGGAAGTAGTATCATCCCCATTTTACAGATGAGACATTGGCTGGCCCAGGGCCATATAGCAAGTTAGGGACAGAGGCAAGATTAGAACTCAGATCTTTGTTCATTCCTCCAGAATGTGTTGCTTCACTGTTCTAAAATGTTATATATATTTAATTTTCAGTAATCTTGCTGCTTTTTCAAATATGTTCAGACCTTTGAAAGTGTTAAGAATTTTACAGTAACATGACTTAAATTAACAATTTATTGCGTGGGTGGAAGTAGTTTGAAGACCAAAAGCAGCAGGTGGTGTAGGGGACTAAAAGTTTTTGATTGCTTTTGCAGTTAAAAATTGTGCGGTTTTTTTTGTTTTGTTTTTTGGTACTAAAAATATTTTCTTCCTTTTTTTCCCCCTTGTCTTGTCTCATGCGTAGTGGTTATATATAAAATTAGAGTAAACTATGTAGGTTGAGACAATGTATTATGGACAAGTATTAACTATCTGCCTAGCAAATGGCCTGAAATTTGATTTTTATCTCTAAATGAGATGAGCCTGGTGGTGGTCTACTTTGTTTTTCATGGGGGATTTAAATATAGGGCACTACATCCTCAGAAAAACAAAGCTTAGGGAAATCTATATTCAAAGTATATTACACTGTATTGTTTTAGCTGTATTTACTGGAATCGGCCATAAATTGTGCCAGGATTTAGCCAACTAAGATCAGTAAAGGTATTCATGTTTAAAATAACCCCGGTGTGTCCTGTGTACCATTTAGGTTTATTGGGAAAATGGTGCACAGATAACTTCACCTCATGACAAAGGAATCTCTCAAGCTATCGAAGAGAACCAAGAGCCATGGCCTCAGGCTTGGGATGACAGTCTGGTTGACAGCAGCTTGCTACTTCATGATCCTTATGTCACTATCAATAAGGACTACTTTAAAGACATACAAAAGCACTGCTTTCACAGGTGAGCTGGTGATTGTCATTCTCTTGGTGACAAACCTATATTTTTAACTTGATTTTAAACAAAGATTAAAACTAAAACTGGGGTTGGGGAGGAGCTGGGTACAAAAATTTTAACTTCGTCGGTTACATTAACTTTACCCTGAGGCTAGCAACTGCTAAACTCAGTATATTAGAAAGCCAGGAATGTACGAAAAATAATGCTGTAATATTACAAACAAGCATTATGCATCTACTTAGGAGAATAAGTGGTGTTTGTTCTCAGTTGTATGTGCCTCTAAGTAAAGTGAGTGAAAGATAAATAACATAGCAACAGATAACACTGTGGTTCAGTGTAGCTTCTGCTTTTATGTAGAAGTCTGTTTAAATGCCATTACTCAACTTGGGTACTGAATCTTATCAGCCAATCATACTAGTTCTTCCTTCCTCCTGTGCTCTGTAAGGCTATACAGAGCCTTATTTTATCTGATGTCGTGGTACAGTCATGTAGGGCTAGAGATGGGGTAAAAAAGGATACCTTTTAATACAAACTTTCTTTGGTTTCATAGTTTAACATTGTTGCAGAGTATTGAGTCATGGTTGTTTCTGAACCCCGTTAAGTGGCACACAGTGGCCATGTTAATTTAACATCATTAATTTACTTGATTTCAGGAATATAAACAAGGAAACAAAGCTGAAGTTCACCCACACTTCTGTGCATGGTGTAGGCCATGAATTTGTGCAGTCAGCCTTTAAGGCATTTGACTTTAAACCTCCATTGGCTGTTCCTGAACAGAAGGATCCTGATCCAGAATTTCCAACAGTAAAGTACCCAAATCCTGAAGAGGGTAAAGGTGTACTGGTAAATATTGTTTTTAAATATTTGCTATCTATATTAAAAGTGTTCTCTCCACCAGCCAGAAATTGTCACTGTAAACCTAGGTATAACGTTTTTATAAAATAGTTTTTCATTTTGAGTTTCCATTTCCATTAGATTTCTTGAAAAGCTAACAAGTGTCTTTTCATAGTTTTTAATGAACTGGCTATCTAATAACAAGATAAACTACTAGAAGATATTTTTTCTTTAACTCTCCAGTAGAATATACAGTATCAGCATGGAGAATAGAATAGCCCTTAAACAAACAAACTGAGAATATTCCTCCATCTTAGAAAATGTCCAATTACAACGAAATTTTTAACAACCTGAATCCAACAGCTGTTAACAGTTAAACTGTAGAATAAGATGATACCAAATGTAGAGATCTAAGGCCTTATCTGCAAACGTTCATGGGAATAACTTGACTTGTGTGAGTAGTCCGTTAACTTCAGTGCAGTCTCATTGACTTCAGTGGACTTTGAATTAGCCCCCAAATGTAGAAATAGATGTTATTTAATTTACTCTTCACACTCCGTATCTTATTTTAATGTAATGCTGCTACCAGTTGAGATCTCTACAATACTGAGGGTACCCTTGAAAGAATTAAGGACGGCGTTTCTGCTATAAACATAGCTTTGTGGTTTTGTGGGTTCAAGTGAAAATAAATGGGAGTGTTAGACCTATAAGAAAGTGAAAATATTATTTATAAGTATTGATGATCCTTCTCTGGTGTTGCACTGTACTATTGTTTTCTAGACGTTATCTTTTGCTTTGGCTGAAAAAGAAGGGGCTGGAATTATTTTAGCAAATGACCCAGATGCTGATCGACTTCTTGTTGCAGAGAAACAAGAAAGGTACAGTAATAAAAATATGCTGTAGTTCAACCACAGGTATTTACTTGAAGCCTGAATTCATTCTAAGAAGTCCTGTGGCTTGTATTATGCAGGAGTTCAGAATAGATGATCACAAGGGTTCCTTTTGGCCTTATCTTTTCATAGATTCCTAGATGTTGTTGCTATTATTATTGGGGAAAATCTGAGAGCTCTAAAAGTGTGTGTGTGATTTATAATACCTATATTGCAATAGCACCCAGAGGCTGCGATGATGATTTAGAGTCCATTGTGCTAGGGAATGTACAAAAAGAAGACAAATATGAAGAGACAGCCCTTACCCCAAATAGCTTAGTCTGTTTTATAGTATATCAAGGTGTTTAAATAGAAATCTTCCCTAGTACACGTCAAAACATGCTTTCTCACTCATTTCATTTAGTTAGTAGTAACTAACATCTTTAATTGCATGAAACGCTTTCATTGACTTCCGGAATCAGGGGGACAGCATAGTTCATTCATGTATCAAACCCCTTCTATCTTTTCCCCAGTTCAAGAATAGGGGTAGTGATTGACTACATATGCTAAGGTATTTATTAGATACCTTGAGCCTGATTTTTCAAAGATGCTGTGTATCTGCATCTCACTTTCTCTCCTATGAGATTTGTAGGTGCTCAGCAACTTCTGGTGATTTGGCTACTAGTTTTCAATTCCGTTGTAAAACATGCATAGCTGGACACTTATGTCCATTTAGATTCTGTTGCTGGGGCCACAGAAAGTAAGCTCCTTTAGGGTGGGGACCTGCCACATTTGTCAGATGTGCTTGTGGCCTATGTGACATGTAATTCTGGCTCACCATCCAGTAGTCCCCTTGAGTGACCAGCATCATACAGACTGCTTCTGAAAAGCTGTACCAGATGATAGAGATTCAGTTGAAGTGCACCGCTGAATACTACCAGCCAGAAATTTAATGTTTCTCATTTCACCTAATCTAGTAGAGCAGAAGTTAATCTATACAGCTGTAAACTAGGGTTGTCAAGCGATTAAAAAAATTAATCCCGCTTAATTGTGCTGTTAAACAATAATAGAATACCAGTTTATTTTTTGATGATTTCAACATTTTCAAGTATACTGATTTCAGTAACACAGAATACAAAATGTACAATGTTCACTTTATATTTATTTTTTATGACAAATATTTGCACTTTTTTGTAAAAAAAACAAAAGAAATAGTGTATTTCATTTCACCTCATACAAGTACTGTAGTGAAATCTCTCGATCATGCCAGTTGAACTTACATATGTAGAATTATGTACAAAAAACTGCATTTAAAACAAAGTAAAGCTTTAGATCCTATAAGTTCACTCAGTCCTACTTCTTGTTCAGCCAATCACTCAAACAAGTTTGTTTACATTTGCAGAAGATAATGCTGCCCACGTCTTGTTTACAATGTCACCTGAAAGTGAGAACAGGCGTTCCAATGGCACTGTTGTAGTTGGTGTCACAAGGTATTTACATGCCAGATGTGCTAAAGGTTCATATGTCCCTTCATGCTTCAACCACCATTCCAGAGGACATGCGTCCATGCTGACGACAGGTTCTGCTTGATAACGATCCAAAGCGGTGCAGACCAACGCATGTTCATTTTCATCATCTGAGTCAGATGCCACCAGCAGAAGGTTCATTTTCTTTTTTGGTGGTTTGGGTTCTGTAGTTTCTGCATCAGTGTTGCTCCTCTCAGACTTCTGAAAGAATGCTCCACACCTCGTCCCTCTCAGATTTTTGGAATTCACTTCAGATTTTTAAACCTGGGGTTAAGTGCTGTAGCTATCTTTAAAAATCTCGCATTGGTACCTTCTTTGTGTTTTGTGAAATCTGCAGTGAAAATGTTCTTAAAACGAACAACATGTGCAGAGTCATCATCCGAGACTGCTGTAACATGAAATATATGGCAGAATGTGGGTAAAACAGAGCAGGAGATATACAGTTCTCCCCCAAGGAGGTCAGTTGTTAATTAAGCGGTGGCTGAAGCATGAAGAGGCATATAAATCTTTATTGCATCTGGCACGTAAATATCTTGTGACACCGGCTACAGCAGTGCCACATGAACGCCTAGTCTCTCTTTCACGTGACATTGTAATTCAGAAGTGGGTAGCATTGTCACCCATAAAGGTAAACATGTTTTTGTTAGCGATTGGCTGAACGAGAAGTAGGACTGAGTGGACTTGCAGGCTCTAAAGTTTTACGTTGTTTTGTTTTTGCGTGCAGTTATGTAACAAAAAAATCTACATTTTAAGTTGTACTTCCATGATAAAGAGATTGTGCTACAGTACTTGTATGAGGTGAATTGAAAAATACTATTTCTTTTATCGTTTTTATAGTGCAAATATTTGTAATAAAAAATAAAGTGAGCACTGTAGACTTTGTATTCTGTTATAATTGAAATCCATATATTTGAAAATGTAGAAAAACATCCAAAATATTGAATTTCAATTGGTATTCTATTAACAGTGTGATTAAAGCTGCGATTAATATTTTTAATCTCAATTAATTTTTTTGAGTTAATTGCATCAGCTAACTGCGATTAATCGACAGCCCTACTGTAAACCTGCCCTGAAGGTGGACTTCAGGTTTTTATTTCCTTGCAATACAGAACAAAGTTCTGCTGCTGCTACCAAGGGAAGGGGCAGTATAGGTGATATTTCACTATCAGAGTGATTTGAAACCCAGGTCTCACCCTCGACACTGGCTAAGCACTGAGAGAGGGCTATTTACCATGTCTCCTCCTGTGGTTGTTGAAATTAGAGAGGCTTGAGTTTTTATACCACTCCAATTAACTCGGGCTCTCAAGCTCCGAAGGAAGAAGAGGAGGAGAGCACAGTATTCTTCCTGCTCACCAGGAGAACTCAGATCCTCTTCATTCCTACAGCAACTCAAGGGCTTTTCCTTCCTCCAGCTGTGTGGATTAGAGAGGCTCTTCTGTATCTGGGAAGAGGAATGGATTTTAGCACCCTCTCCCCTGGGTCTGTTAAGGACATGTAGATTAACCTTGTCATCCTTTACTCTAAAATGTTTTATGCTGTGTAGCTGTAGCCATGTCAGTTCCAGGATATTAATGTTTTGCCAGCACACATCTATGTTTGCCTTTTTTTTCCTTTTTGAACAATGGTCGTATCATATTGCCTTTATATAAACCCATGGTGCGCCCACATCTTGAATACTGCATGCAGATGTGGTTGCCCATCTCAAAAGACACATTGGAATTGGAAAAGGTTCAGAAAAGGGCAACAAATTATTAGGGGTATGAAACAGCTGCCATATGAGGAGAGATAAATAAAACTGGGACTTTTCAGCTTGGAAACGAGACTAAGGGGATATGGTAGAGGTCTATAAAATCATGACTGGTGAGGAGAAAGTAAATAAGGAAGTGTTGTTTACTCCTCAGAACACAAGAATGAGGGGCCACCAAATGAAGTTAATAGGTAGCAGGTTTAAAACAAATAAAGTATTTCTTTACACAACACACAGTCAACCTGTGGAACTCCTTGCCAGAGGATGTTGTGATGGACAAGACTATAACAGGGTTCAAAAAAGAATTCGATAAATCATGGAGGCTAGGTCCATCAATGGTTATTAGTCAGGATGGGTAGGGATGATGTCCTAGCCTCTGTTTTCCAGAAGCTGGGAATGGGTGATGGGATGGATCACTTGATGGTTACCTGTTCTGTTCATTCCCTCTGGGGCACTGGGCATTGGCCACTGTTGGAAGACAGGATACTGGGCTAGATGGACTTTGGTCTGACCCAGTATGGCCGTTCGTATGTAATGATGCGTGCACTGAAGTTTTAAATCAGAAGTACATTGCAGTCAGGAACAGAATTTCTAAGTCCACTAACATACCACCAAAATTAAAATGTAAAAAGCAAATGTGTTAGGAAGAATGTGCAAAGTCAAGCAGCCAGAAAACTGTTGCATGTGTCAAACACACACAAGGCTTCGTTGGCATTGAGGGAAAAGAAAATGTTTTTGCTGGGGACATTTACCTAGAGCACAGTGCTAAATGTGTCTGTTTTTTTTTAAATCTGACTTTAATATTCTGTATTAGAAATTCTGCTTCTAGTTTAGCACACTTTTATAGCAGTGAGAGCTAGGTCTGAATTAAGCACATAATGTATGTACTTGCTTTTCTGTGCCTTTCTCTTGGCCAGCTATAGTCCTCGCATTCTGAGTCCTCTCATCTCTTCCTCCTGCTGAAGATGTTTGTACACTAACTAGTATGTTAAGAATAGACTTCTACAGTATCTGTACTTCTTCCTTGACAGAAACTCCCATTAGAGCGCAAGTAGTTTGTCATCTGCTATTACACTAAACTGTTGCTGTGCATTACTTTGTGCCTATTGGCATCAATAGATGCAAGAGACTGAGGCTGCTTCTCTTTCACAACAGGTACTGTTTTTGTAGGTCTTGATTTATGTCAGCTTTAGTGATGTCTTTGTTCCCCTTCACAACTGGATTTTTGAACAATTTTCTCACTCCCCTTTTCTCTTCTGCTTTTCCCTTCATCATTTTCCTTGCTCTTCCAATAATTGAGTCAGCTTTGACCCTTTTTTGATATTTATGTTTGAGACTTTTTTCCATTCTTCCTTAATGATCTAGTGTCCTGATGTACTTGTGATTACGTGAAAATTAGTAGCCCAGACTGTCACTGAACCCACTCTAATAACGGTCATTTAGTACCGAGTTGTTTTTCCCCAAGTCATGTTGGTGGTGTAGCTTGTGAATATGAGGTCTTTTTTTCATCAAGATATGATGTAGATGCTCCAAAACACTTCATTTTAAAATGAAAAATACTTGTTCTTAATTCTCTTTAGCTTTAACAGTTGTAACGGATAGTGAATTGTTGCAGCTTTTGACAGGCATAGAAGCCAATGGGAATGACAAGGAGAATGTCCTGTTTTAGTTGGATAAAAAAGTAAGGAACATTTTCCAATGGAAGCTAGACACTCAGTTCCCATTAATTTTTTTTCAGTGGGAGTTGGATCCCTAACTCCCATTTGTCCTTTGAAAATCAAATTCACCTCCACAGCAGTTAGATGACTTCCTCTGTTCTGTCAATTTTCTTGTACACAACAACTGTTAAATGTTCTCCACTATTGTCTTTTAAATTGTTTTTATAATGGTTGCATCATGTTTTGTTTTCAGTGGTGAGTGGAAAGTGTTTTCTGGCAATGAGCTGGGAGCTCTTTTAGGCTGGTGGCTCTTCACTTGCTGGAAAAATCAGAATCAAGATCCTGCTGCCATCAAAGATGTATACATGTTATCCAGCACTGTCTCTTCCAAAATCTTGAGAGCAATTGCACTGAAGGAAGGCTTTCACTTTGAGGTAAACTGTTTTGTGTAAAAGTCTGTATCATGTTTTTGTGTGCAACGTATCTTACGTTTTTTCCCCCCTCCCCATCTCACTTTAGGAGACATTGACAGGTTTCAAATGGATGGGAAATCGAGCTAAGCAGCTCATGGACCAGGGGAAAACAGTTTTATTTGCATTTGAAGAAGCTATAGGTAAGAAATGAACAGTATAGATAGCTCTGGTGCACTGTAGAAGAGTAAAAAGCCACTATATAAAAAGCCATTATAAAAAAGCCACTATATAAAAAGCCATTATAAAAAAGCCACTATATAAAGTATATAAGTAGCCACTATATAAAAAGCCATTATAAAAAAGCCACTATATAAAAAGCCATTATATAATCATTCTTATGGGTGCTCTTCCTAACACCAGAATGTGATGAAGATACTTTTTGTTTGCTAAAACTTCCAACTTCTGTAGTGTGTCAGTGTTTCTTTGTGGTTTTCTCTGTATACTCTAGTTCCTTTTGTTACAGGATTCTTTTTATATGCTTTCTTTTGTTTAGGATATATGTGCAGCCCTGTTGTCCTGGACAAAGATGGTGTCAGTGCTGCTGTTATAACTGCAGAGATGTCTAGTTGGCTAGCAACCAAAAATTTGTCTTTGTCTCTGCAGCTGAAAGCTATCTATGATGAGTGAGTTTAATTTCATTGTCTAGTTATCAGATGTTCTCCATCTCCAATATGTTAGTTAACTTGCTACTGAATAATATCTAATACAATATAGAGGCAAAGTACTTTTGCAACCGTAATTATCTACTTGCAAGTTGCCCTGTCTCATAAAAACAAAGCTTAACATATTCAATCTCTCTCTCTCTTAAGAATATACACAGTTGCCTCAACAGACTGTTCAGTGTGAGCCTTTATTCAAGTGACAAGCTATACAACTGTTTTAGTAATGCTTTCAGTTCCGCATAGATCTTGTAGGCAAGAAAAAACAGATTCTGTAAGACAGGATCCAATTCTGTGTGTAACGAGATCTATTCTCCCATCAAGCATATTTCTTTGGCATTAATGGGAATTACAAATACAAAATACAGCAGGTGCCAAATGGACCCTCCTAAATTTACAGTGTGGCAGTTGTGTTGGTCCCAGAGAGAGAGAGAGAGAGAGACAAGGTGGGTGAGGTAATACAGTTTATTGGACCAACTTCTGGTGAAAGACACCAGCTTTAGAACTGCACAAAGCTCTTCAGGTCTGGGAGTGGTCCTCAGTGTCGCTGTTAAATACAAGGTGGAACAGATTGGTTAGCATAAGAAATTAACACACGTTCTAAGGGGCCATTCAAGGTGAAGTGGCACATAAACGCCTGTGCAGTCATAGAACAAAAAAGGAAGGGTTAGTGGGTTACTTACAGGTTGCTGTAATAAGTCATAAATCCAGTCTTTTTATTAAGACCATGATTTTTAGTGTCTAGCAGAGTCGTGAATTTAAGCTCCCAGACTCCTCTTTTGAAGGTTTGTGTATATTGGGAAATGGTACAGCCTCATCCCCCATGAACCCACCCCAGTGATCTTCTACATGCTTCGCAAGATACATAAACAAGGTGTAGCTTGTTTCCGTAGCTTGAAAGCTTGTTTCTTTCACTAACAGAAGCTAGTCCAATAAAAGATATATCCTCACCCAGCTTGTCTCTCTAATATCCTGGGACCGACACAGTCACAACACTGTAAACTTAGGAGGGTCCATTCAGCTCTTGGTGTACATGTAATCAGGGCCATCCCCGGAGCAACACGGCTGGGGCAGGTGCAGCGGAGCAGGCTGCAGCCGGGTTGCTCTGCTTCCCGCTGCCGGTGGGTGGGTGGGGAAAAGATCGTCCCCCATACTCGCTGGTGGTGGGAAGCGGAGTGATGCAGCTGAAACCTGGCAGAGTAGAGCAGGCTGGAGCCAGGTTGCTCTGCTTCCCGCTGCTGCTGGTGAGTGCAGGGGGGGAAGACCCCTTCCCCAAAGCAACACGGCTGGGGCAGGAGAAGCAGAGCGGGCTGGGGCCGGTTCGTTCCGCTTCCTGCTCCTGGCCCCCCACTAATTCCCCAGACCACTCTGGACGTGGGGGGCCCCCCAAATTGGCCCCCCACCGCTCCTGCCTTCCTGGCCCCGCAGACCTTGAGTGCAGCCCTGCGGGGGAGCAGGTGCTCAGGCTGCATAGGGCACCATAATTGGTAGGGATGGCCCTGTCTGTAATTCCCATTAATGCCAAAGAGATGTGCTTGATGGGAGACTAGAGCTCATGTTACACACAGGACTGGCCCCTGTCTTATATAATATTATGTCTTACCTGTAAGACCTGTGTGTTGAAAGTTTTGCAGATACATGGTATATGATTCCATAAACAAGGCATAGGCCAACAATTACTGGTCATCTTATATTGTAAAATCTTCTGGACGGGGACAGTGAATGTCCTTCTTTCTCAAATTTGTACCAAAGCTATGTAGTCTACACATTCACAAAACAGTATTTTTCGTAAAAGCTTCCACATTGGATGCCTGTTTTGGTAGAGCTGTTCTGCAGTCATTGTTTAAAAGTAGGACTCCCAGTATCCACCTCCAAGCAAACCAACTACAGCTTGTTACTCACCAAGAGTAGAATCCACGTGGACAATTACCTACCTTAGAGTAACTGTGGTGTTGGTGTGGTGTGTGTGTGTGTGTGTTTTTTTTTTGGACATGTGTTGTGGGCAACACATCTTTAAGAGCCACAGTTACAACGGGGTACAGTTTTTTGTCATTTGTAATTATACCCTTTTTCATTCCCAATTTTTAAAAAAATGGTATTTTTGCAACAGTTAAAATACAGGGGGACGTTCATGTTAAACTAAATGCCAGCAGTTTTGGTCTTTAACTAAACAAAAATGTAAGTGAAAAATATGTATTCTCCAGTTTTAGATTTGTGAGGATCAGTTATTTTTATATTACCTAGATCAATGGTTCTCAACCAGGGATCCAGAGCCTCCTGGGGGGCTGCGAGTAGGCTTCAGGGGGTCTGCTAAGCAGGTCCGGTATTAGACTTGCTGAGGCCAAGGGCAGAAAACTGAAGCTCCACCGCATGGGGCTGAAGCCTGAGCAACTTAACTTTACAGGGCCCCCTGTGGCATGAGACCCTGGGCAACTGCCATGCTTGCTACCCTAGCACTGGCCCTGGCGTTTATATGCAGTTGTTACGGTACAGGTGGCGTGTAAAGTTTTTATAGCATGTTGAGGGGCCTTAGAAAGAAAAAGGTTGAGAACCCTTGACCTAGATGCATTATAAACACAAATGTATCATGTGTTTTGTATCACAGTGAGAAGGTATGCATAGTGTGTGCTTAAGTAGACTGTGTTCTCAAATCACTATATTTTCTCTTAACAGGTATGGCTACCACATTACTAAAGCTTCATATTTTATCTGCCATGATCCTAAGACTATTAAAGAGTTATTTGAGAATCTTAGAAATTATGATGGAAAAAATACTTACCCAAAATCATGTGGCAAATTTAAAGTTTCTGGAGTAAGGGATCTCACTACTGGCTATGATAGCAGCCAGCCTGATCAAAAGGCGGTAAGTATCCTTTTATAAAAATGATAGATCAGGTTTTATAGTCCATACAATTAACAGTATACTTAACACTGAGAGAAGTGAAAATACCAACTAAAAACCACACAGATTCTTGTAGCCATGCTTTGTGATCTTGTCTAAACTACATAAAATGTCAGAGTCCGCTGAAGAAGCTCTGAGGATTTGTGCTATTTACTACAGCTTTAAGTTTTTCTCTGTTTTTTCCTACTGCTTGGAGGGATTGTTTCCCCTCTGCACTGATATAAGAAATGTAAAATATCTATTCAGATGTGAAGTTTTGGATTCTTTAGCCTTCTTTTAGAATCAAGGGTGATTTGTATTTATTTTTTTCTTTTGATAGTCACTGAGCACATGCTTTGTGTAGCTTTTTCTATATGCTACCAAAATCTTGACAAGATTTCAAGATGTGTTATCTAATAGTGACTCAAGCCATGACATGGCTTTCCTTTTCAAATCCTAGGTTGACTGTAAGATTATGATCAACTCCAACATGTCTGAAGTTGGGAGGCCAAAATAAAATAGTTCAGTTTGTGTATTTGGTACTGAATACAAGTTAGATTTTTTTTCTCTTGCATCTCAAACTCATTGCATATATTTAAGTAGCGAACTTTTAAAGAAGCTATTCTATGATATATATGTGTGTGTGTATATGTATTTCTAGGTGCTTCCTACCAGTAAAAGTAGCCAAATGATAACATTTACTTTTGCTAATGGAGGGGTGGCTACTATGAGGACCAGTGGGACAGAACCAAAAATCAAATACTATGCTGAATTGTGCGCCCCTCCTGGAAACAGGTATTGTGTTGCTTTTAGGAATAAATTTTTTTTTTAAAAAAAGGCCTATTTTAATATAATTTTAATAATGACACTCATTTTAGAAAAAGAATGTGTTCAAAGCTTTAGTTCCGCACAATTAATGGCCAATTCTTGCTGTCACTGAAGTTTCATTAAACATGGATTGTCTTGACTTCCGTAGGAGCAGGAAGAGGCCCTCAACTTGATAACATTTTAAAATTGTATTAAAATATTCCAAGATGATTTGAAAGGGCTGCTTCCTTTCTCAAATCTTTTGTTTCAAAGTTGATATCAAGACTTATTACTGAAATATCATACTTATTCCTTTGACTCAAGTAGCCTTGGTAATTGACTGTCAGAAGTCAAATAACATCTTGGTATTTAGCCTATTTGTCTGACACCAGGATGAATTTGGCCCACTTTCATAAATGTGTAAAATTTGGAGTTTTTTTCCCCAAAGAATATATTCTTAATTATGTGGTGGATCTTCTGGATTCCCTCATCAGAAGCTCTGCATTATCTATCTTCTTCTTCTTTCAACCAAGGACACATTTATGTAGATGTACAAATGCTAAAAACTGGCACATCTGTATGCTTTAGGCTTTCTTGAGATAACATAAGAGTATATCACAAGTAATGTTCTAAGTGCAGTGCTGTAATTAGTATAACCTACCATCATCAAAGCAAGCAACTTCAAATCTCAAAGCCCCTCCTTCCCTGTTTTTAAAAGGGGGGAGGGAAATGTGCCTTATAGTTTTGACAATTAGCATATGTAGTATTTTACTTTTAGGTTACTCATTCAGAGCTAGCCCAGATTGGTAGTGTCTGAACCATGTTGTGTGTGAAATGAATTGGTGGCTCAGGTGGTCTCCCCAAAACAGACAACCGTTTTTGGAAGTTTCAGCAGAAGTCAGGGATTGAATAGAAATGAAGACTGCCATATCAATGTGCTATGTTTTGGCTGAAGCACACTGATGGAGTATTGTGGAGAAGCTTGCATTTCTTCTGTTTTCTGTAGCTATTCACAACTTTTTGATTACTAAGCTATAGTGATTGAAGATTTTGGACATTAATAACTAACTCAAATAGAAAACACTGTTTATGAATTGCTCATCAAAATTGATCTTTAAATATTTAATGTTGAATATTATGGTAATATTTGCCTAAAGGCCCCAATCCCATTGTGATAGACTCTAAATAACAGTATCTGAAAAAGGCAGTTCTTAATCTTAATCTAAGATGAGAGGCAACAGATGGATTCAAAAATACAAATATGTGTTTATAAAGTATTTTAAAAATAAGCTAACTTTTGTTAAAGGCTAATTGTATTTATGCTTTATCATGAATGAAAGAAAAGTGATACAAGGTCTAAATGTTACTAAACATACAAACTAGGGATGAAATGGGAAATATTTGAAGCTTAAATCAGCTGTTATATCAAATAATTAGAAAAACATGGACAAATGTAAATTCACCTCCTTGATACAAAAAGGTTAGAGCTAAACACTGATTTAGTCCCACATGTGGGACTAAGAAATCAAACGCACAATTTTACTAGCATTAATAGAAAATGTGCTGTTAAAACATCACACATGAGACTGTGGGCTAGGCTAGACTAACAGTTAGTGCTTGGGCAAGCTGGGGTGTAAATCAGTGCACACTGGGGAACTTATCACACAGTAGCAGGGTCCACATGTACTCCTAGTGTACAGTACATTACATTACAGTACAGTGTACATCCCAGCTTGCCATGCACTGACTGTCTTGACAAGCCCTCGCAATATACCCCGTTTTTCTTTTTCTTCTAGCCTTTTTTGCTGCTCTATGATTTGGTTTTGTTTACTGTGGTTTTTTTTGTTTTAGTGACCCTGACCAACTGAAGGAGGAATTAGGTGAGCTGGTCGGTGCTATCGAAGAGTATTTCTTTCAGCCAGAAAAAAATAAACTGCAGCCCAAAGCAGAGTAAATAATTAAGACTGTTTCCTTTATCGCACTGTCTCTGCAGCATGTTGTGGGCAAAACTCTACACTATTGGAAAAAGTAGAGATTTTTAAGGACCAAAAAAAAAGATTAAAATATATATCCTTACCAATATGTGTTCCACATCCTCTTTGGTCTAATATCTTATCTGGGTAAATCAAGGGATTCCTTATTAAAAACTAGCAACCAAAAATTATCTGGTACAATGCAAATGTTTCAATAATCAAGTCTTGTTCTAATAAATTTTATTGTACTTGCCTTGCCTTAATTTCTGTAAATGCAATTTGCTTTTTACATGTATGTAGCCTAATTTGATAGCAATGTAACTACCAAGTTTTTGATGACAGGGGAACTGGATAGCGCTGCATGAATATGTCTAGTTTTATCTTTGCAAGTCAGGCTAGCTGCATAACTATGGGGCACTGGAAATATGTAGGGGATGTTGGTAAAATCAGGGTAGATGTCCCTAGAAGAGCAGGTTTCCAAAAGTGATTTTTAGCCACAATAGCAGGATTTTACTGGGGTTGGTGGTGGATTTGTGGGTGTTGATAAATTGTATAGTCAATTGCTTGACCACCACACTTTCATTAATAATGAACCATGTGAACATGTCTTACTGCTCTAAGACAATAATACTATGGTACAGGAGTAAGGTTATATATGATACCAGTCTCTGAGAAGCCATGTCATGCAGTGATGATACATTCACCTTACACAGAAGGTGTGCTCCCCAAGTTACACATTTTAGCTGGTATTATTTATACATAATACAAGTTGTATCTCTCTTTACAGGTCACTAAAATCCAACCCAGCTCCCTACCTAGTTTTTCTGTTCTTTCCGTATCTTTGATTTAGATACTAGCATTCTAGGTACTGGTCCATGAAGGTGCCTCCCCTAGCTTGTACTTAGACATAGAATGAATGAATCTTGATTTTGACAAGTTTCTTATCTGCTTATGCCAAATGGAAGAAGTTATGGGATTATGGTGTAGGTTAGTTTTAGGCTACATCACTATTACAATATTTATGCTTAATGCATACTAATATATATAAAAATATGGAGCAGATAATACATATTACTACATATATGCTGGACAGCATAAATTAGTCAATGAAGCAGAGCCAGAATCGACATCTGTTGTCTATTGCCATGGTTTCTATGAAAATACATCATCTTGTAGGCAGGGGAAGAGGAAATGCAGCATCTTGGGTTGGAGTTGAGCATGCCAGCCCTGTGTCTTTCTCTAAAGACACTTAACACTATACTGGGGCAGAGACTGACTTCTTGGTAAATATTTATAAAGTGCCTCATATGATGCATCCCTGACCTTTGATTGGGCCTATAAATACAAAAGATGGGAGGGTTTTGCTATTGACTTCAAAGTGAAACATCGTAAGTCTTACTGTACAGAAATTACATGCATATGGCTTTTCATTGCCCTGGTAGTTATGTTCTGAAAATGAAATGCAAGGACAACTCTAAAATAACCTATTAAACCATGGGAGGACACACTGCAGTCTGGAATTATGAATATACTTCACTGAGGACCATATAATGTGTTTATTGTATATGCCCTATTAATGTTGGGGATTCTACAACATCCAGCCAGTGTTGGTCAAAATGTTAGTCTGTAACTCAGCATTCTTGTGTATGTTTGTTTTTATTGTGCTAAAATGTATTTGGCATAGTGTAAACCTGAACTGAATCTTGAAAGCAAAATATCACTCCTTCTAAAGTGAGATTCCTGTATTCCAATGGTTTCCTTTGTAAACAAGTGGTAAAATAGAAAAAAAAAAAAAAAAGAGGGTACTGTAAAGTAAATACTACTGATCTTACTCCATGTAGGGGTAGTTGCTCGGATTTTATTTTGACACAGGGGAAAATGTTTAGCTGTACACAAGATCTTAGGCTGTGACAACTCAGAATGTTTATAGCTAGACAGTTACATTATAAGTAAAGGAATATCCTATTGCAGATATCTTTGTAGTCTTCAATGGAAATTTGATAGGAAAGCCCTGATCTCTTACCCCTTATTTCAGTGCTTCTAGAGAAGTGCAGTAAGAATTAATTTGCTTTAGTCACCTTAACTTTAGAGGAAGGATTATTCTGAACAATAAAACCTGCTGATGATTTGTGTAACCTTCATAAAAGGGTGCAGTGCTCCTGATGCCTGACTATCACTGTTCTGTACATATTCAGAAATGTGACTTTTACAAACTACCAAGACAATTAAGAAGCAGTTTACCAAACAAAACATACACACTATATGGTGGTGCTTTTATGAAAATGGTAACAGAACGTATTTGTTAAAACTAGCACATTACTTTGTAATTCAAAGATTGAAGGATGTATCAGACTACATATAGCTCTTATTCACAGCATGTAGGTTTAAAGAGGAGGCACTGATGAGTGTATGGTGAGTGTGCCAAAGGTAGCTCAATGAGGCGCTTTGCTGCTACAAGCTCTGAGATGCAGAAATGCTTACTCTGTATAACAATTAAAATCCTGTAAGAAATTATGGCCACAAAGTGAAAGTAAGAAAACAATAGGAATAATCAGTCAATTTTCAACTTGGTAAAGGGTTAAAAGGACTAGATTTTTAATGGGAGTCATTGTGGTTGGCTTAGAGCATCTCTGCGCCATGTGTGGCAGCATTTTTTTTAAATGCTGCTAATGTGATCAGATGACTAAAAATGGGACAAAAATACTGCTAAGAATAAAGAAAAGGAGTACTTGTGGCACCTTAGAGACTAAGAGATGCATCCGATGAAGTGAGCTGTAGCTCACAAAAGCTCACGCTCAAATAAACTGGTTAGTCTCTAAGGTGCCACAAGTCCTCCTTTTCTTTTTGCAGATACAGACTAACACAGCTGTTACTCTGAAAACTGCTAAGTGACAGCTAGAGATGGGACATGGGGGGGGGGGGGAGTACTTTGAATTACTACAGTGAATTCTATCCCAGTTTTCTGACTTGAGGGTCTCGCCCACATGCTCTAACTGATCACCATATTTGGGGTTTGGAAGGAATTTTCCCCTAGGTCAGGTTGGCAGAGATGCTAGAAGTTTTTTTGCTTCCTCTGCCATGTGGGGCATGGGTCACTTGCTGGTTTGAACTAGAATAAATGGTGGATTCTCAATAAATTGAAGACTTAAATCAAGAGTTGATAACTTCAGTCATTTCAGCCAAAATTAATGGGCCTACTCCAGGAGTGAGTGGGTTAGGTTCTGTGGCCTGTGATGTGCAGGAGGCCAAACTAGATGATCATGGTGTTTTCCGGCCTTAAAGTTGAGTCTGAGTCATAGAGACCAAGCACTTACTAAGCCTCAGAAAAGAATTAAACATAAACATCAGCAGACCTATCTGTGGTAGATAGGATAAAATAACAGCTATATAAGCCCTTATGCTTCAAGCCATAAGACAACTATTAACTGATAGTTAAGTTTCTCCTATGGGAAAATTATTTCACATAGGTGCACAAGATTTCTTGCAATCGGTACTAGCCATTGCTGGAGACAGCCTACTGAACTAGATGGACCACTGGTCTGATTCCATCTGGCTGTTTCTATGTGTAATTGTAATTTACATCTATTTACTGCTATAACTCACCCAAAAACAGTTTGCTTAGGACTTTCACAGAACTCTTAAATTTATAACCTATATCTGTAAACAGCAGTTCTAAAAGGTGTTTCTAAGATGATTGTCTAGTCATGTAGCCAGTTGGTAAAAGTATCTCCTACAGTTTATTACAAATGCATTGTCATGATTTACAACCATTTGTTTCTACTAAATACTTTGGAAAGGAGCAAGAATCAAGATAGATTTAACTTCATAGCCAAAGATGGTACACATCTTCAATTTCTAGTGTTACTAAAAACAGCCATTGATTAACTACAGTGGGTGCTCAAATAAAACAATGTGGACTATGAGTACTAGACAGTGGGATCATAATGTTTTAACTTCAGTGAGACTGGAATTTTCACCCATCTAAATTTTTAAAAAATTTGGAACTTTGGGTTTCAATCTAATCTCAGCATAACTGGAGAGGGGAAAAAGAACCAAAACAGATTCATGACAGATTGAATAGTTTAAGTCCAACATGCTTACCAGGTTAAAGGGTACTAATTTTGGGGCAGTTTTTATCTTCAGGCCCCCCCCCCTTTAGATTGTGTGTGTGTGCATGCAGCATCACTTCCACATATACTTTCCTGTTTATCATAACCTATAATTTAGATGCAAAAGAGGCTGGAGGTCTTTGCCCCTTGAATACTGCCCATTTAAGTCAAACAATTTTCAGAATCCCTCTCCATTCTAGATATGGGATAAGGTGACCAGATTTAAACAGCTAGTTCCTGGGTTGATTGGAGGGGTTGATTGATTTTTATGTTTAATTAGACCACAGGTTCATACTGTCAGTATTATTAGTAAGAGGCTCCTACCAAATATTCCCCTTTAGGCTGATAAATCCATCATGCCACGGGTCCATTTGTGTGTAGAGATGAATGTGGGGGTTGGAAAACCTATTAATTTGTTTTCCCATTGATACCAAATAGTTTATCGTGAGAAATGGAGGCAACAGTAAGGTCCAAACAAAACTATAGAACTACTCTTTGCTGACATATTGTTCCTAGAAGCATGCTGACTATATTACCAGTTGAATTCAGTGTTTTATCTTGCGTAACTTGAAATGGGAATGGGCTTCCAGACTTTTTAGAAGAGTGGCTATCCACTTTGGGGGAGTTAAAGCAAACAAAACGAACCTGCTATTTATTGAAATCTGACCCAGGCCAAAATCTGAATTCTGTCTTCAGGAGCATTTTCATGAGCCCCAGGATTAAGTGAGTTCTGGCAAAAATGATATAGAATTTACTTCCCTCTGAATATTGCTATCAGAGGCAGATAAAAGGACAGACAAGTTCTTCGACCATTCACTGAGAAAGAATCAGAGTGGCTTAGTAACTCATATGGGCGAGTAAAGCACCAGTAAGGACACAATAACTTGGGTATAGCTTTGAAGTGTGGCTGCTCGCATCCAGCTTAAGTTAACTCAGGTGCTCAGACTCAGACGCTGGTCACCTGAGTTAACTCTAATGAAGACATATCTACAGTGACGTGTGCCATGTGAGTACTAGATAGAAAATTATGATTGCACTAACTTCAGTTAAACTGGAATTTTCTGAGCAATCTGTATTTTTTTAAAAAAACCAAAACACATGAAACTCTCCAGATTTAAACCTAATCTCAAAACAACCTGCATAAGAAACCCAGATATCTGGTGGACTGAACAATTAAGCTGATAGGCTGCACGGTGAGGTCTATAGTGCTTAGAAAATGAGTTTTGTTCTAGCAACAGGGGCTGTCATAAATATAAAGGGAAGGGTAAACCCCTTTGAAATCCCTCCTGGCCAGGGGAAAGCTCCTCTCACCTGTAAAGGGTTAAGAAGCTAAAGGTAACCTCGCTGGCACCTGACCAAAATGACCAATGAGGAGACAAGATACTTTCAAAAGCTGGGAGGAGGGAGACAAACAAAGGGTCTGTGTCTGTCTGTGTGCTGCTCTTGCCAGGGACAGAACAGGAATGGAGTCTTAGAACTTTTAGTAAGTAATCTAGCTAGGTATGTGTTAGATTATGATTTCTTTAAATGGCTGAGAAAAGAATTGTGCTGAATAGAATAACTATTTCTGTCTGTGTACTTTTTTTGTAACTTAAGGTTTTGCCTAGAGGGGTTCTCTATGTTTTTGAATCTAATTACCCTGTAAGATATCTACCATCCTGATTTTACAGGGGGGATTTCTTTATTTCTATTTACTTCTATTTTTTATTAAAAGTCTTCTTGTAAAAACTGAATGCTTTTTCATTGTTCTCAGATCCAAGGGTTTGGGTCTGTGGTCACCTATGCAAATTGGTGAGGCTTTTTATCCAACATTTCCCAGGAAAGGGGGGGGTGCAAGTGTTGGGAGGATTGTTCATTGTTCTTAAGATCCAAGGGTCTGGGTCTGTAGTCACCTAGGCAAATTGGTGAGGCTTTTTACCAAACCTTGTCCAGGAAGTGGGGTGCAAGGTTTTGGGAAGTATTTTGGGGGGACAGACGCGTCCAAACAGCTCTTCCCCAGTAACCAGTAATTGTTTGGTGGTGGTAGCGGCCATTCCAAGGATAACGGGTGTAATATTTTGTACCTTGGGGAAGTTTTGACCTAAGCTGGTAAAGATAAGCTTAGGAGGTTTTTCATGCAGGTCCCCACATCTGTACCCTAGAGTTCAGAGTGGGGGAGGAACCTTGACAGGGGCACTACTTACTCTCTGCAGGTTTATATAGCCAATAACCTGAGAGATATTGTGTTAAAAGTTCTTCACAAGAAACCCTGCAGTTTTTTGTCACAGCACATCCAAAGCTACCAGTTTTGACACCATCCGGATAAAGGGTTGTGTCCATAACTTCGATCCATTCAATTTTGCCTTTAATAGACTTCCATATACATTTCAATCATTTTTGGCTGATCTGAGTCTTTATAGGGCAAATAGTAATGAATTTAAGTCGTATACAAGAAAAATATATTGCAAATACCCCATTTGGGTGGAAAAATTCATTTAATAGGGCTATCAAGCGATTAAAAAAATTAAATGATTTTAAAAAATCACAATTGTACTGTTAAACAATATTCTATTAAAATATTCTAAATATTTTTTGATTTCTATATTTTCAAATATACCAATTTCATTTACAACACAGAATACAAAGTGT